TACTATTGAAGAGATCTTAGATTCTCGTTTAGGTTGTGTCGACTAAAAATCACTCGATCTCTATTTCGAGTTTCAGGCTATGTACTGCTATGCTGATTCTTAGAAAAATTATAACTTCCTCATACGAAGTCAGATTTGGACGTTCTTTTTCTGAAAGTTCTCGGTTTAATGAATACTACGACTTTAATTTAGATCACAAAGGCTAAAAAGCAGTTTATCAAAAACTCACTTTTTACGTCATATGATGTCGTGCCGGTTCTGTCGCGAAACTTCAATAAGTCATAACTTCTTCATTATAACTCGGATTTCGGTGAGGTTTTTGCCTAAACGTTTCTAACGAGATGATCTACAACTTTAAATAACATTATTTTTTACTTATTTCCAACTTAAATTTCACATTTTCGTTAATTTCAATATTTGACATTTGATTGGAATCTCATAATACTTTCAATACTTCTCGAATGATTCTAAACATAGTTTTACTTCAATTCTTATAAAACTATCTTGTTAGAACTCATTGCTCAAAACCATATATTATTTAATAATATTCATTTTTAAACTAACAAAACACTAGGGATGTCAACGGGGGAAAACGGGACGGGGAGTGCATCCCCCTCCCCCGCCCGCGAAATTTCTCTGTCCCCCCCGTCCCCGAAATGTCCAGCCTTCCTAACCCAGCCCCGGCCCCCGAATCCCCCTTATTACCCCCGTCCCCGCCTCCGTTCCCCCGTCCCCGATTGATTTTGGGTTGCCTTTTTTTGGGCTAAAAGAAGTTAGTAACAAATAATTATTTATAGCAGAATTTTACATGTTAAATAAAAAAGTTATGACATCTTAAAAAAATTATACTAACAACTTAAAAACATGTTTTTGTTGAATTTTGGAAGCTCAAAATCATGTTATTGTTTATTATATTCATATAATTAATACATATAAATATATATATATAATTTATTAACGGGGTCCCCATGGGGGTTTCGGTACGGGATTGCCCACCCCCGGCCCCGGCCCCAAAATTAAAACGGGGGTTAAACTTGCCCCCGCCCCCGATTTTTTTAATAAATACCCCCAAATAGGACAAAGCCCCCACAGGAACGGGGTCCCACGGGACTTTTTGACATCCCTACAAAACACGATAACTGAACGTGTATGTTACATTATACAAATAAAACCGCACCGCACCAAAAATATTCGGTTTTTGTAAAATTAAAAACCACACTATCGGTTTTAGTTTCAGTTTCGGTTTATGCGGTTTTTTTAATTCCAATGCGGCATTTGCCGAGCTTTACAAAAAAAAAACATGAAAAAAAACTTAACTAAAACAAACATTTTGGATTGTTGATGCTTCGGTATAGTCTCAGATACTCAAGGGACTGTTTCTGTAATTAGCTCGAAGAGAACATTTTGACCTTTTCTTGTTGGAACATATCACCCAAAAGTTCAATCAAGGTTTTGTTAAGGTCCAGTTCCAAAATCGCAACTGCAGAGGCCTCAAAACTCTCCCCTTCACATGATTTGACTCTAATTTGATATTCTCTCCTGAGATCGACGAGTATTTGTTTTCTGGTGAGTATTCTTTCATTTAAATTTGCCATAGCCTTCTTCTTGCTGCAGTATTCGCACATTTCTTTCTAGTTTCCAACTTAATACTGGATGAAAACCTCGGAACTTTTCAATTTCATTTGATTCTGTGATTTTTTGGCATGATTGAAGTAATTGAGTTGGCAGTTTAGCATTAGGGTTTCATGAGCTAGTGATCGGGTGCCGATTTTCAAAACCTCAATCTCAAACTGAAATTAACAAGTTCTACGATTAGAGCTCAGCCCTAATGCACTGTCAGCTATGAAGCCAGAAAATTTGAGCGCTTGTTTTCTCGTATATGAAAGAACTGATGATTTCTTCCTATCTAGGAGAAATGCAAAGTTCTATGAAGAATTAAAATTGTAATTTAGGGTTTCTGATTGCAGCCCTACAGCTAAACTACCCTTACACCCACAGCTACATTTTCCCCCAAATTTGGGCATGAACGATCTATATGCCATTTCTGAGCAGCAGATTGAAAACACAATATTGACTTATTACCATTCTAACATAACATTTCTTGAAAATTTCTGGCTTGCTGCAATATTCCAATGAAGATATGATAGCATTGCATATTCTAACTCATTGTTGCATATTCAGAATCAATCCACACTACATCTCATGGGCACCTCTTCAGGATCTCATTTCAACAATCAACCTTCACCAACAATGCTACCTCCACGTCAGCAAGTAAGATCCACACCTCTTCACACCTCTTTATCACTCATTCCACTTCCACCAGATGCTTCCGGATCACCAAATCTTCAAGAACGCGGCTCAAATTCCGATCAAATCCGCGAATCACCAACCGAAAGTGCAAGCTCCCGTGACACCTGGCCCGACCCCTTAATCCTATCCAAAAAGGAAAATGACAACAACACCCCTGAACACTCTGTCATCCGCCATATCTCAGGATCAGATAAAATGTCCATTAGAGATGTATGTAGGGAAAGAGTGGATCTTATTGCAGAAAGAATGCAGAATCTACCTTACGAGTTCTTAGAGAAGCTAAAGAACGATCTTCGAGTTCTTATTGAAGGATCTGGTGGTCATCAACACCGAGAAGAATACATTTCTCTTCAGAAAACGGTTCTGGGTCGAGGTGATTTGACCGAAATGACCCTCACAATAGCTCACAGAGGCCAACTAGAGATTCTAGTTGCTGTCAAGACTGGAATACAAGCATTTTTACACCCAACTGTAAGTCTCTCACAAGCTTCCCTCATAGAAATCTTTTTATACAAAAGGTGTAGGAACATCGCGTGTGGGACCCAAATTCCAGCTGATGATTGTTCTTGTGAGATTTGTACCAAAAGAAACGGGTTTTGTAACCTTTGTATGTGTGTGATTTGTACAAAGTTTGATTTTGAGGTGAATACATGTCGATGGATTGGTTGTGATGTGTGTTCTCATTGGACACACACGGATTGTGCTATAAGAAACGGGCAGATTGGTGTGGGCCCGGGTAGAAACGGGGCAGGATCCGGATCCGGGTCCGGGTCTAGGGAGATGCTTTTTAGATGTCGGGCATGTATGAGGACTTCTGAGTTATTCGGGTGGGTGAAAGATGTGTTTTATCAGTGTGTTCCTTTGTGGGATCGTGATGCTTTGATTAGAGAGCTTGAATATGTTAGAAGAATATTTCATAGAAGTGAGGAAGTTAAAGGGAGGAAACTTTATTTCAAATGTGAAGAACTTTTGGAAAAATTGAAAACCGGATTGGGTGAAGGTGTAGCTTGTAAATCCATATTGTCATTTTTTCAAGGTAAGTAAATCAATAATCAATAATCAATAATAGTTAATAAAACAAATAAACGAAAGTACCTTGCTATTTCTTGCATTTAACAGTTTAATAAACTATCTATAGAAATGGACACGGGGTCCCCACAAGAAACAGAAGAAGGGCGATTAATCCCTCCACAAGAAGCTTTCAACCGAATAGCCGATGTAGTCCATGAAGCAATTAAAAAAATGGAAATGGTAGAAGAAGAAAAAATACGTTTAGTTAAAAAAGCGCGATTAGCCCTAGAAGCATGTGATCAAGAACTCAAAGACAAATCCCGTGAAATGACATCACTTAACATGGAAAGACAAAAAAAGAAACATCAAGTAGATGAGCTTGAAAGCATTGTGAGACTTAAACAAGCGGAAGCGGACATGTTTGACTTAAAAGCTAGTGAAGCTAGAAGAGAAGCCGAGAGACTTCAAAGGATTGCTCTTGCCAAAACGGAAAAGTCGGAGGATGATTATGCAAATAGGTATTTGAAACAACGGTTGCATGAGGCGGAAGCTGAGAAACAATATTTATTTGAGAAAATAAGGTTGCAAGAGAGTTCATCGAGGGTGTCACAAGGTGGTGATCCGATGTATAATAAGATTCAAGATTTGCTTAAGAACATGTATACCACACCTTCCAAAGGAGACTGACTGTTTGTTTCTTTTTGACTTAATGGACTTAATACAGGGTTTTTTTTGTGTAAGAGTATGGATGGATGATGTTGTTGAGATGTAATGTTTATGTTTGAGTTATCGGAGTATATTGTTGTGTTGGGTTTTGGTTATTTAGTTCTATATTTGTGTGCATGTTAGTATCTATCTACTTATTTTTGTGGATGATTTCTTTTAGAACTATTTCTTAAATGAATACTTTTCAAATCATTTTCTTTTTTTCTCATGTGTATGATACATAATTTTTCTTGTCTTCTTTGTATAAGTATTACTTTTGTAAAATTGACTTAACCGATTTAACAAAGACATGATTTAATTTGGGCATATGAATCGGGAATATTTTCATAAAAAAAGTTGCGACTTAATGTGATTCTTGTGTAAAAGCAAGGATTTTTCTGTTTTGATTTCAAGAAAATAAGGCAGATTGTAGTTTTCTTTTTCTTTGATTATTATCTGTATGAAATTGTAGGAGGCTTGTGAGTTACACATGGTGATTGGGAGGAAAATTGGGGAAGTAAAGAATATTGGGAGGAAAATTGGGGAAGTAAAGAATATCTTATCTTCTTTATTGCTTACTTTAAGGCTTCCTTGACGATGATGGTAGGAATGAATGATGATTGTAGTCCCAACAATCATCATTATATTTCTTTACTTTATAAAATTAAAACCATACATAAAGTTCACTCTTGATGTATTTTAATGGTTAAATGCTTGTTTATGCAATGATTTTTTGACATTTTATATAGACAAAAGTAACTATATAACCATATATTTGTTACAATGTGAAAATTACAATGTGAAAATGTGTTTACATAGACACACATTTAAGTTTTAACCATATATTTAATTATATATATATATATATATATATATATATATATATATATATATATATCTTGTTGAATAACCCGTTGTACATTATACACTTTCTGATGTTCATCTCATTATATCGTTTTCTCTTTTGGCTTCATCTTTTGTAACCTTCATTGTTGTCAAAAGGAAGAACACCCCAATGGAATTTATCAGGAAGTGTATATGACACATTTTAAACTAAAGCAATGAGGGTTTAAATGCAACACCAAATATTTCCTCATTCTCTTCTCATTTTCTCATTCAAAAAGGATCAAACAACAATCATTCTCTTCTTAACCTTCATCACACAAAACACATAGATTTCACAATTCAAAAAGCTACCAATTAATGGCACAAGCTTTCATCAAAATGCTTCTTCTTATCACCATTTTCTCAATACATAAATCAGGTAACCATCATCGTATCACCTTACTTATGAGTTATGAGGACACTGTGATTTAACTTCTCATGTTGACTGTGTCTGTGCGCATTGTGGCATGTACCCATTTACTTTTGTTTTGAACGACCATAAACCCATTAATTACTTGTAGTTATATATATTATCAAAATAATAAACCCGCATTTTGTTTATGATGTTGTTTTTCTTTTGTGATGTTATGGTTTCTTGATGAGTATAGATGGGCAATTTGATGATTGGTGTGTAGCTGATGAGCAAACCCCAGATGAAGATTTGCAAAGGGCAGTTGTTTGGGCATGTGAAAATGGTGCAGATTGTAGCAAGATTCAACCAAACCAGCCTTGTTTTCTGCCAAATACAATCAAGGATCATGCATCTTTTGCATTCAATAGCTACTTTCAAAGGATGAAAGCACATGGAGCCACTTGCTATTTCAATGCAGCTGCTCTTGTCACTGATCTTGATCCAAGTAAGCATATTATTCTTCCACAGTTTGAATCTTTGCATTTTGCATAACGAGTGTGTGTGTGTATATATATATATATATATATATATATATATATATATATATATATATGTATATACACACACGTAGAGGTTCATTTGAGACTGTTTTTTTGTAAGACACGGGACGCAATCCTAGCCACTCATCTTCAAGATCAAAACAATTAAAAAAAAAAAATTCTAAAATGCAAAAATAGCGAAAAAAATAAAAAGAATAATTTTTATTATTTTCTTTTTTTATTTCCAAAAAAAATTGAAAAAAAATAAAAAAATAAATCCACACCAGCAAGACAAAAATTCTAAAAAGACGAAATTAAAATAATACACATAGTATTTTGTTACAATATTCTAAAAAGACGAAATTAAAAGAATATGTTGATACTACTAGGTAGGGACTTTTAGAACATTCTTGCGATGCGAAGTATTTACTAGTTCGAGACTTTTGATTCATCAACCATTGGTTCAAAACTATTGGGCTTAGTGTTACAGACTAAAGACCTTAATTCTTAATGGTACGGCCCGATGAACTATGGTTCAAAGATCCTGATTAACGAGCCAGAAGGGTAAAAATGCAAACCTCTCAAAGATCGAAGGTTGATGATCAATTCTATTGATCAGACATAACTATTAGACGTAACTACTGGCACAAAGACATCTCGTCCGAGGATTGTTGGTCGAGTTACCATGATTAAAGGGTAGCTTCATCAACAGTGGCGAATCTAGGATTCAAACTCACGTGTGTCCCATTATAAAATAAATGAGTCGAAAATTTTGGTTATGAGTCGGTTTGTCGATATACTTTGATCAAGGTGTTTGTTATTCATCGTTTTGTTGTTGGTATCATGATCATACCATAAAGAGCTTCTTTCACCTTTTTATGTAAATTTTTAGCATCATGCCAAAAATAATAAAATAAATAATTACAAATCTATATAAATCATCAAAAACAAATACATATACACTATCAATATATATCTATAATATAAATAAAGCATCTAATTTAAACAAATAATATATATAAAAAAATCACTTAAAAAAAGTATAATAAAACAAGAAGAGTGCCTTTTTTTTGTTTCATTTAAGTTTTATTACGTTATATATGTCGGAAGTATTATTTAGTACAATTTTAGTGAAGTAAATTAAAATGATAATTACATCTGTTCATTATAGAAAACAATAAGAGACATGTGATGTCTGACATATGATCACAAAAGCAATTATAGGTTTAGACTTTAGACTATGACTTTTCTAGTTTGTAGGTAGACTATGCTTTTTTTTTTCCTTTAATTGCTTTACAGTCCATATCGACCATATCCACTGCTACAAGAAATTTAACCTTAAGTCCTAAAAGAAAGAAAAGAAAGACTTACCCAAATAAAAATTGAATAGAGGAGAAGCAACGCATGTTTGTGGTTGCAGTGTCGGCGATAGATGGTTCAGTCCGGTCGGATGAAGGTGGGGATGGTATCCGGTACGAGTGGCGAAGAGCAGGTGAGAGACGACCAGTAGTCTAAAACTATGACCCCAAGACATGTTGAAGACAACCTGCGGTCACTGGAGATCGAGACAGTCGGAGTCGTTATTGTCGGCGACACCAAAAAATTAGCGGCGGCCGGAAGGTGGCAATTCGGTTTTTGGAAGACAAAGGGCACTCGAAAATCATAATTTTTTAGGTTTTTGTTTTCCACTTTACTAATTTTCTACCATTTATAGTTTATAGATCGATCTGAGCTTGCAATATTCTTTCTTATTATATATTTGAAAAATATTTTGTTTACTTAACAAACTCCTAAATTTCTGCTCTTGAATTTTTTTGTAAGTTTTAAAGATTAATAAGAAATTGCGATTGACAAATGTGATAAATCAAATCAAAATATTGTATTATTTATTCTTTTGTGTTACTGTATCCAAGGGTGTCCGGACTTTTTCCCAACAGGTGTCCCATGGAATTTATCGTTATATCTTGTAAATAAAATTTGAGATTTAGGGGTGTCCATGGACACCCTTTATAACACTGTACACTCGCCCCTGTTCATGAAAAGAATTAAAAGGATTCTTCCATTACAATAAAAAAGAAGGAAATCCGAATAAATAAAAATGGTGCGATTGAAGTTTTCTTCAAGAAAATAGCTTTTGATAAGTGGGGTTGAGTGAAATGGGTGTAAGAAATAAATAATAAGATAAAAATGGGTTAAATGGTAAAATAAATAAATTGATAGCACCCTACATCACTTGAATAATATCATATATTCATATTATTATATAAGTCCTTTTTGATGATCGTATAAAGTCCAATTACCTAAGTTGACTAGATGGAACTAATGTCACCTAACATATTAATTTAATGTTTAATATTGAAAAAACTATAAAAATGGTTCTTTGTGTATGTAATTTTTTAAGTTTTTGTTAAAACTCCGATTTTTTTGGATTGGTGGTCATTTTAAGCTAGTTTTGTTGCGTATTTGGTTTCTTCGCATATTGAAATAACTGTTATGCCCTTCGTGTATTTATTTTCCATTTTCTAAAAAGATTTAATACTTATTAAATAATTTTTATAATTAGAAATAAAAGGGTCAACCTCTCTCTCTCTCTCTCAACTTGTAATTAAATGAAAACAAACTTAGATCTGAAAGGATCATCATCTTCCTCTGTTAATCAAACACACAATTAGGGGATAGCTTCTCTTGATGGCGCCATGAAAATAGAATATGAGTTACTGTGTTTGCTCTCGGAATACCTAATCTGGGAGGTTGAAAATTCGTTTTTTTGTCCATAGAACGACACCTCTTCGAGGTGTAGCGCAACTTACCTTTCTATCATGGTTAAAACAGGAAGATCATCAAGCAAACATGCCAAGATAGTTCTTTTTCATATAATTCAAACTCATTAATCAATTATAATGAGAATGGTAAATAATTGAATTTAGCTTTAAAATTTGCAGAAAAATGTACTGATTATGGAGAGAGAGAGAGAGAGAGAGAGGTGAGCCCTATTTATTTTTAATTATAAAAATTATTTAATAAGTATTAAATCTTGTAAGAAAATGGAAAATAAATACATGAAGGCATAACATTCATTTCAATATTCAGAGGGACCAAACACGCAACGAAATTAGTTCAAAATGACCATCAATCTAAAATAATCGGGGTTTGGACCAAAATCCAAAAAAATGCATACCACAAGGACCATTTTGTAGTTTTGTCTTTAATATTTTTGTGCATGCATTCCTAAAAGAGTCATATTATCCTATCACCGGTTGATTTTCAGGTTAAATCTTATTAAATTTAACAAGCGGGAGTACTCTTGTATTAAGTTACTAGGCGTAACATCGCGCGTTACGCAAGAATGAATTTAAGTGGTTAAAATAATTATGAGAAAAAATAGAAATATGTTGAAATTTACGTTTTTAGTCAAGTTTTGGGCATTAACCGAATTATCAAATAACATAAAAATCCATCAACTTATATTTTGATACTATCTAATATAGTCAAATACCTTATAAACTTTACTTTTACTTTTATAATATCCAATATATATTATAAATTTTTGTATAACATTAATATAATCTACGCTTCTTATGTCCGATAATATTTTTTGGATAAAATAAGAAATAAGTTGTTTTGAATGAACTATTAATAAACAATATTGAACTAATAAACTTTGTATTACACTATTTATATTACACCAAAACATCTAAGATTTCATATATGAACTTTCAAATATTAAACATTGAAATTAAGAATGAAGTCATACAAAATATATCATTATACATAAAATGTCATCAACAGTTTTAAAATAAGTCGATTAGTAAATATGATATTTAATTTTAATTACATATTTTGCAAGGCGTACGTTTGACTTTATGTTGGTGCGCCGAGAATCCTCTTCCTTAATTTGTACCTAAAAAATTAAGGTGAATAGGAATATAAAATAGATATTACTAAGCATTAATATAAATAATTAAAAATGGTATGTGGATCTCCTACCACCTGTTAAAGACAACATAACTCTCTAGTGGTATCGATTCCTATATGAAATTGAAGTAGTCATTCTATGTACACCTTGTTTTCTAATTACATAAACAAATATTAGTAACCAAACATAAAAATATTATCTTTATGTAGGAAAAATATTTTAGTTAACTAACAAATTAAATAATATAAGTTTAAGAGTTATGAGTTTCAAAACATTAATATTTTTATTAATCAATCAATTAAGTAACACATGTTGAAAATTTTACAATCATTATTAAAAAGCATTTGAAATATTAGATTTTAAATTAATTTTGGTTGAAGTGTTTTGACCTCTATTATAACATATATATATATATATATATATATATATATATATATATATATATATATATATATATATATATATATAGAGAGAGAGAGAGAGAGAGAAATGAAAAGTATAACATATGTATGAGTTTTAATTAATTATCTTTTTGAAACGGTACAATTACAAAACAAAAAAAACATATTTAAAATATTTAATTAAATATTTTCGACATCACCCTATATAACAAATGATCAATATATTAACGATTAAACCACAATATACAACGATTGTATTACAATAATCCAAAAAACAAAGAAAATATAAAAACGAATTAGTATAACAAACTTACAAATTATAAACTCTAATATAATAACATATCTCCAAAAGTGGTCATGAGACCTCAACCCAACACAAAAACTTTTAAGTTTGTTTTCTTTCTGAAATTTGTAGATGATTTGTATGCATGTCTTCCCAAAAGATTGACATTTTTATAGTAAACTTTTCACTAAATGCTAAATTAAACATATTATAAGTTATAAAATTTTTGAGTGTTAAATCATAATTAAGAAAACTTTTGAGTTGCATTAGTTAAAAAAGAGGGTTTCAAATGAATGTGGTTTGAGGAAGTTAAAAAAGGGGGTTTCAAATGCATGAGATTTAAGAAAAAATGTTAGCTTTATAAATATGTATGATGTTTTAAAGATTATACGTTTTATTTTATAATATATGAGAATATTAATGTAATGTTTCATATGGATGATAGGTCATGGCTCTTGCAAGTTTGAAATTCATGGATGAAGATAAAGTGGCATGAGATGGCAAAAATTTATGTACCAGTTCGTTCGACATATTTACAATTTAACACAACATGATTCAATTCCAAGTTTACTCTTTTTTTTCTTTCAAAAAATCAATATAAATACATTTTTGTATAAGTTTAGTGATAAGATTGTATCATTTTATATCTAAATTATGTGGTGTTGTAAATAGTATTTTGCACATACTAATGAGGGTGTTATATTCAAAAAATGTTAACTGCACCACCTGAACGGTCTACGTTGAACCCGTCCCAGACTCAAGACTACTAAACTATTACAAGACAACTAACACATGTATTACATACAAATATCTTCCTTGTTAACATAACTTCTATGCTCTTCCATTTTCCTCAACCCAAGCAAAATACAGAAATGTTCATGGAATAATGTTAAACAAGGCAATTCATAAGACAAACATTGCCTTATGGGATATATAAGACTTAAAATGTAAAATGACATCCAATACATTATAGTATAAAATATTTAATTAAATAACAATATAATGAAATAGCATATAAAGGAATTTCAATTTTCAACTCAAATCGTACCTTGTTTATTTCGTATCTAACCTCAAGTAGGTTAGCAAAAGACACTTCAATTATTTACGAGAAGAATAAATAACACACTTAGCCTTACAAGTTACAACTATCTATGGCCTATGGGTCCCTCGTACAAGTAGGAACCCCATACTCACTTACTAGCGTGAGTGTTTTCATTCTCCGATATTAGTGGGATTGTTTCATTCTCCTATATAATTGGGACCAATTACAACTATTATATAGATGAGAGAATTGCATTATGCAATTATATCATATTAAATAATCTTTCATTAAAATACTATATTTAAATAAATATCCCCATACAGGTGCTTATGTAAAGCTCACTTGAAGACTAAAGAGATATCTAGTCTCGATCACCCTTCATTGCATCATACCCGTCCAATACCAACATTAAAGTTTTATATCATTAAATGATTGTATTACATTTGAGATCCTTATTTATATAATCACTAGGTGTAAGACCCATGTATTACATGAATTCATTAAAAAAAAACTAAATATGAAATTCTAAACATTTAAGAAGTTTGAATTTATAAGAAAAATTAGAATAATATTGAATTATTAAAATTAAAGTGTTTTTTTCTCTTTTAAATTTAAACAAATAATTTAGATAAATAAACAAAGGAAATTAATGGGGTTTACTTTAGAAATTAGAAGGAAAGTCAATTAATGAAATTGGTATGTATTTATTATTATATTTATTGCAATTAATACATTTAATTAATTATTATATGAAATTTAATAAACATGAAAACAACCACAAAATGTCATGTGGAAAAAAATTAATTGAAAATAACCACAAAATGACATGTGGCGAAATAATGAGAATGTGACATGTGGCAAAAAGATTTTTATTTATTAGGGAGGATTATTGGAATTAATACATTTAATTAATTATTATATGAAATTTAATAAAAATGAAAACAACCACAAAATGCCATGTGGAAAAAAATTAATTGAAAATAACCACAAAATGACATGTGGCGAAATCAATGAGAGTGTGACATGTGACAAAAAGGAGTTTTATTTATTAGAGTAGATTACCTAATAACTAATCTCATAATACTAGAGATGGGAAAAAAACTCATACCTAATGGAGAACTCAAAACTCGCACCTAATTTGATTGTGGAATCCCCAATTTGACCGGGAATGAGAAATCCCCAAATAAAAAAAGTGAGGATGAGAATGAGGATGTGGATACCTCTAGTCCCGACTCTGTAACACTCTGTTCCGAATTGACTCCTAGTCTGAGGCGGTGGCTCGAAGGTCGGTCATTATAAGGATTATGGCTCTTGGGAAGGTAAGATCTAGCCCCTTTTGGGTGCGGGTGATGTATTAGAAGTGATCCAGGTGTTTGGTTCGTGTTTCGGAGCCTAGAGGTATTTCGGTAAAATGGCAGTTCGGGTTTTTGTGGAAATGGACTTTTGTTCGGAAGGTATTTAGGAAGATATGAGTTGATAGAAGTGTAGGGCTTCTCGTTACCTTTCCGTGGATATAAGGATCGTCGAAAACGGATTTATAACGAAGAAGTTATGGCCTTCAGAAGTTTAGTAGTTTCAGGCTTAGCCGAGTACGCTGGGCGTACACAAGGAGTACGTTGGGCGTACTAGTGAAGAAGGCATTACGCTGGGCGTACTTTTGGAGTACGTTGGGCGTACTGACCAGGAGGATCGCGAATGTTCCCCGACGTACGTTGGGCGTACTCCAGTCAGATCAGAACCCTATTTTAGGGTCTTGGACCCTATTTAAACTCCTTATCTCATAACCTAACCCTAATATCTTCAGCCTCCACCCCTCTAAACCCTAGAAATCGTCATATATCATCCATGGTGGCATTTTGAGCTTATGGAGTCCATTTTTGGGGTGTTTGACCCATTTTCAAGAAGATGAAGTTTGATGCAAAGATGAGAATCAAGGAGGAGCTTATGGATCTGGCTTTTAGGACTCATTCTCAGCTTGATAAAGGTATAAAGCTTTGAACTTGACCATTGAATGCTTAGATCTATTATATTTAGTTTTTGGATCTTTTGGTCCCAAGAATGGAGCTTTATGGTTCCAAATCCGTTTTTAGGCTTGGGGTTGCCACCCTTGATGCTATTTGAGTCCCTAAGGCAGAAAGTTGCCATCTTGATGGTCTTAATGGGTTCATGCTTGAGTTAGGGTCACTTTTATGGAAGTAGAATGCCATTTTTGGAGTTAGGGTTTGTTTGGGGCATGCAAAGTCACCAAGTCAGTGACTTTATGGGTTTAGACGTTAAGTATAGCTTAGATATGTGATTTGGACTTGTTGGATCAATTATTAAGCACTTAATGGATGTTGTGCATGAGCTGTTTGTATGCTGGGCGTACTATGTAGTACGCTGCGCGTACAGTTCATTTGCTCAGTACGCTAAGCGTACAGAAGAGGTACGCTGGGCGTACGCTCTCAGGAGGACTTGGGCCTTTGTGGACTTTGGACCTTTAGGCCCTAATGGTTTTGGGCCTGGATTTGCTGATAGTTGGGCCTGGATGCATCTTTGGGCCAATAATGGAATAGTTGGGCCTATTGGGCCTTGTGGCCCAATATAGAAATGAACTTCGCATTATGGGCCTCGGTTGGGCCAATTGTTGGACTAGGTTGTTGTGGGCCTTCGTGGGCCATTTGGGTCGGGATTATTGACTAAGGAGAATATTGGGTTTTAGTATAAGGTCCACTAGAAAGGTCTGGGCCCAATTTGGAAAATTGGGCCATTGATGGTTTATGGACATTATAATGTTGGGCTTTTGTTTTGGGTTTGGGCCTTAGTTTTGGACCATATTGGGGCAGGGGTAAAATGGTCATCTTACCCCATGCATGGATTAAGGATTATGGTATGGGACCCAATCGCTAATTGGGTATATTGATTGGTAGTGGCAGCTCGGGAGGCTGGCAGGGCAGCAGCTAAGGAATTCTTCAGGAAGCTTCTGCATTCGAGGTGAGTCTTCTCACTATACCCATGGGTCTAAGGCACCAAGGCCGACCCATTATGTTATTAGGGTAAATGTGTTAGTCATTCTGTGATTTGATATGTGATTGTATGTTAATGCATGGAAGACCTCGGGGGGAGCCCGTGGCATTGGATGTAAGAACATGTGGGGTAGCCCATGACATTCCTAGGTAAAGACCATGTGGGGTAGCCCATGCCACAATGGTGTAAGACCCTGGGGGGAGCCCACGACATCCTTACAGGTTTATTTGTGTTATGTGTAGATATTTCCGTGATATATGATATGTTTTATGTGATATGTGTTATGCTAGTTGTCTTTGTGATACTAGCATGGAAGACCCAGGGGGAGCCCGTGGCAATTAGATATAAGACCATGTGGGGTAGCCCATGGCATTCTCAGGTTAAGACCATGTGGGGTATCCCATGGCACAATGGTGTAAGACCCTGGGGGGGGGGGGGAGGGGAGCCCACGGCATCCTTACAGGTTTTTGGTATGCATGGCTTATGTGTTATATGTAGCTTTTATAGCTAGCAGGAAATGTGATACAGGTAGCTTTTATAGCTAACATGATATGTGTTATGTGGATTGTGGGTGTGGGGTATGCTCTGGGGGACTCACTAAGCTTTGTGCTTACGGTTTACAATTTTGGTTTCAGGTTTCATCAATTTGGAAATGAAGGGCTCAGATTGATCGCAGTGCACACACCTATGATTTCCGCAATGATTGATTTTGGGATGAATTATGATAAATGTTTTACTTAATGAGGATTTGACATGTTTGAAATAAATGGTATCAATTTTTTAGCTGTAACAAAAATGAATTTTTTACCCCTGATTTTTGGGTCGTTACAAGTTGGTATCAGAGCCTTGGTTTGAGGGATTCAGACATACTTTTGGGTGTGTCTGAACTCAAACTGAGGATCTGTAAGGTTTTAAAGGAAAATGTTTTCAAGGAAAAGTTTTCTAAGAAACGAAAGGGTGTGGTGCATGCAATCAGCCGAGCTCAAGTAAGTTTCCCCAGAATACCCACATCTGTTATCTGTTCTGATTTGATTATGAATCTGGATATCGCATGCTAGTTAGGGCTAGGAGAGATGCCTTTATATGCTATATGACCTTTTAGACTTGCATTCTAGTACTGAGTAGTCAACAATAGGTTGGCCTGATATGTGGTGCTTGTAGCCATGAGGATATTGGATGTCATGTTGGAATGAGAATGATAATTGGTATTTGTAACTGCATTGTGTATGTTTTGAAAATTGTATACGGTTAGGATCTTATAGCCTTAGAATTATTGACTTGGCCTTATTTCCTGTTCCTCGTCTGGTTGTGGTCCTAGGGTAGAGTCGATTATTCGACAGTCTATTAGATCCTGTTCTGTGTATAATTTGCATGCATAAGGCAGCCGACAAGGAGGATGGATGGATGTGGACAGCGCAAGTCGCGACATGTGGACGGAAAGTTCTATGATAGTTCTTTGGATCGGAGTGCTACTGCACGAATGTTGCTTGCTTTGTGCTTTGTGGAACTCTTGAATGATGGGATTCAGCTACTAAGCGGATATGACGATAT